CTCCTCTGAAGATGGCTTCTCTCAGGGATGCAAAAGCAATGGTTGAAGAAGGCAGGAATACCAATTGGGGACAGCTTCCTGAATTTATTCATAAGACTGACAAGTGTGGCTTGGGCTTTACTTCAGGAGCTCAGAGGGCTGTTCGACGCGTTCGAGTTGGAGGACCTCCCCTACGCATCAGCAATCGAGGGGTAAATGCTATTGAAGATAGTGAGTAAGACTTTGATATTGACAGCTGGATTTACCCAACTACCAATAGTGGAACGAGTAATTGGACAGCCAGAGATATCGTACCAGTTTCTTTTATTCCGCAATAATTGTCTTATTTGTTTTCTAAGTTTGTAATGAACAAATTAAACTTTTTGGCCTTGTGTCTTACCCGAGTCACAATGGTTCTATCTGTGAGGGTTATTATATGTCATCTCATATATCATCAATGAAGCATTGGACGTTTTTTTGCATGCAAATTTTGCACTCTCTGTTTTTCTTTTCTGCCTTTGCTTTATCAATACAACTATACTCTCACACACACTCACGTATCAAACTGCAGATCCATATCCACTTTGGATCCCATTGATAACAATTCTGCTATTGCCAGTTATGACTTCGAAAATCCGATCAACCAAGACGAGAACGAATGTGAGGATGATTGTGAGGTACCTGGAGAACTTGCTAGACTGCTCCAACAGGAAGAGAGGGCTATACAGCCTCATGAAGAGCCAGTTGAGACAATAAACTTGGGAACAGAGATAGACAAGAAAGAGGTTAAAATAGGTGAAAATCTGGAGCTTAGCGTCAAACAGAGGTTGATACAAATGTTTCATGACTACATTGAGATATTCGCCTGGTCCTATGAAGACATGCCTGGTTTGGACACTGATATTGTGGTACATCGCCTGCCGACTAAGGAAGACTGCCTGCCAGTTAAACATAAGGTCCGCCATATGCGCCCTGAAATGTCAGAGAAAATTAAGGCAGACGTTATGAAGCAGTTCGACGCGGGATTCTTAGCTGTCACCTCCTATCCGTAGTAGGTTGCTAACGTCGTTCTGGTGCCTAAGAAGGACGACAAGGTACGGATGTGTGTGGATTAGAGATCTGAACAGGGCAAGCCCCAAGGATGACTTCCCGCTTCCTCACATTGACATTCTGGTCGACAACACCGCGCAGCAAAAAATCTTCTCCTTCATGGATGGTTTCTCTGGCTACAACCAGATCAAGATGGCTCCTGAAGACATGGAAAAGACAACCTTCATCACACAATGGGGAACCTTCTGCTACAAGGTGATGCCTTTTGGGTTGAAGAATGCTGGGGCAACTTATCATCGGGCCATGGTCGCTTTTTTCCATGACATGATTCACCATGAAATCGAAGTTTATGTTCATGACATGATAGCCAGGTCCCAGACTAAGGAAGAGCACCTTGATCATCTCCAAAAGCTGTTTGACAGACTGAAGATATACAAACTAAGGTTGAAGTCGAACAAATGCATCTTCAGGGTAAGGTCTGGTAAGCTTCTAGGTTTCATCGTCAGTGACAAAGGTATTCAGGTAGACCCCGCAAAGGTAAACGTCATACAAGAGATGCCAGCTCCCCGTACGGAGAAGGAAGTTAGAGGTTTCTTGGGACGCCTGAATTATATCGCCAGGTTCATTTCGCATCTGACTGCTACTTGTGAGCCAATCTTCAAGCTTCTGAAGAAAGATCAAGTGGTGAAGTGGAGTAATGAATTCCATACCGCTTTCGAAAGAATCAATGAATACCTACAAGAACCGCCAATTCTAATGCCTCCAGTCGAAGGGAGACCTTTGATATTGTACCTGACAGTGCTAGACAATTAAATGGGGTGTGTGCTGGGGCAGCATGACGAGTCTGGTCGAAAAGAGCACGCAATATACTACCTTAGCAAAAAGTTTTCCGACTGTGAGAGACGATAATCACTGCTCGAGAAAACTTGCTGCGCTTTGGCATGGGCTGCTCGCCGACTAAGACAGTATATGCTGACTCACACTACCTTGTTGATATCAAAGATAGATCCGATCAAGTACATTTTCGATAAGCCCGCTCTCTCCAGAAGGATAACAAGGTGGCAAATGATCTTAAATGAGTACGACATACAATATACAACCCAAAAATTAATAAAGGGGAGTGTATTGGCTGATCATTTGGCTCATCAGGCCGTGGATGACTATCTGTCCATGAATTTTCATTTCCCGGATGAGAATATCATGTTAGTAACCGACTATGAAGAACCGGGACCGGATGAAGGACCTAAGGAAGGATCCCGATGGTCTATGTATTTTGATGGAGCCTCAAACGCACTGGGTAACGGCATTGGTGCTGTAATCATATCTCCCGAAGGCTGTCATACTCCATTCACTGCCCGATTATGTTTCAACTGCACCAACAATATGGCGGAGTATGAAGCATGTATTATGGGTCTTCGAGTTGCTATCAACCTAAGGATCAAGTTCTTGAGTGTATTCGGGGATTCCGCCCTGGTGATAAGTCAGATCAAAGGCGAGTGGGATACGAAGCACCCGAATCTCATTCCGTACAAAGAGCATGTACTGACGTTTCTTCCACACTTTGAGGAGGTAACCTTCGAACATTTCCCACGAGAGGAGAACCAGTTGGCGGACGCGCTAGCTACCATGTCTTCCATGTTCAAAATCCGGTGGGACAACGAAGCTCCCCGAATCACCATTGAAAGGTTGGATGAACCGGCACACTGCTGCGAGATTGATACCGAGGAAGTAACAAACAAACCTTGGTTTCATGAAGTCAAAAGGTATCTTGAGGCTCAAGAGTATCCCGAAGGGGCATCTGTCAATGATAAGAAGTTTCCGAGAAGATTCACTGCAAAGTTCTTCCTCAGTAATGGAATCCTCTACAAACGCAATCATGATTCTACCTTATTGCGGTGTGTAGACAAGGGAGAAGCAGAGAGGATCATGACAGATCTACATGAAGGCACCTTCGGAACCCATTCCAGTGGATACACAATGGCTAAGAAAATCCTACAGGAAGGATACTACTGGTCCACTATGGAAGCCGATTATTATCTGCATTCTCGAACTTGTCATAAATGCCAAATCTACGCTGATAAGGTGCATGTGCCTCCGGTCCCCTTGAACGTCTTGACAGCTCCGTGGCCCTTTGCAATGTGGGGCATCGACATGATCGGAGAAATCAGGCCCACCGCTTCCAATGGACATCACTTCATCCTAGTAGCCATTGATTACTTCACAAAGTGGGTTAAGGCAGCCTCTTTTTCCACGGTAACCAAGAACATTGTGGCGCGGTTTATCCGACATAATCTGATATGTCGATATGGTATGCCGGAGAGAATCATTACTAAAAATGATACGAATCTCAACAACACAATAATCACCGAGCTCTGTAAATAATTCAAGATACAACATCACAACTCTTCTCCCTATCGGCCGAAGATGAATGGCGTTGTCGAAGCAGCTAACAAGAACATCAAGAAGATTGCACAGAAGATGCCAGTGACATACAAAGACTGGCATGAGATGTTACCGTTTGCTCTACATGGGTACAATACCTCAGCACGGATGTCGACAGGGGAAACACCCTACTCTCTGGTATATGGCATGGAGGCAGTTCTATCCATTGAGGTCCAAATATCTTCTCTCATGATTATGAAAGATGTAGGTTTGAACGAAGACGAATGGGTCCAGACTCGACTTGATCAACTGAATTTGATCGATGAAAAGAGACTTACTGCTATCTGCCATGGTCAAACGTATCAAAAGCGAATGATTAAGGCTTTTAACAAGAAGGTCAAACGCCAAGAGTATCAAGTCGGATATCTAGTGATCAAGCGCGTCATACTGCCGCAAGGTGACCCCAGTGGTAAATAGACCCCCACGTACGAAGGGACATTTGTGGTTAAAAACATTTTTTTAGGTGGAGCCATGATTTTGACCACCATGGACGGTGACGACCTTCCTCACCCTGTCAATACAGACATAGTGAAAAAATACCACCCATGATAAAAGACCCGCTAGGTTGACTGGCCTAGGCAAAAATAAGGGCTTCCCGGCGAACCAAAAGGGTTCGGGCAAAAATGAGGGATGAAAATGAAAAAAATCTGTACACCCGTGTAATACCCCAAATTTGTCCTACCCTTCTACTTCCTATATGGCTTACGCATTTTTGCATTTTTCTCACATTAGGTCATCTAACACATCATGCATCATTAATCGATAAATTGGCATAAGATCATGGATTTTGAGGAATAAGGTTTGGTGTATGGCTTTAAGGCTCTCATCTTCGCACAAGCTTGTTTCGGTTGATTTCTCCATTAATAATTTGTTTGAAGCTAGGTTTTCATTTCATGGACCTTATCATCATCAAGCTACGAGGCTATCCTTTTCTTCTCAATGTCAAGTTGCAAGGTTTATGAGACGAAGCTAAAAATCAGGGTTTATACATTTTCATATTTGAGCTTGTCAGCATTCTACCTGAGGTTCATTCCATATCAAGGTATTCGCATGTCTCATCTTTCATATTCATCTGCAGAGAATCCCTCAGGGCATGGTCATTATCATCTATTGAGAAGGGGTCCAAGACGTCGTTGTTCTAGTGCTCATATAGTCGGGACATGGTACAAGATGTTGATTGTGATCAAGGTGTCATTATTTCAAATGCTTATTGCTTGACATGAAAATTTGGTTTAGATCGGAAAATTGAATTGAATTAGGGATTCACTGAAGCTGTAGTTTGATTAGAATTCATTCATTAATATTTGAAGTGGATTTGGAGAAAATCAAGGTTCTTAATTATTTGCGTGGTTTTTCTTGGAATTCAAACCACAAGTTTGAAAAAACATGCAGCATAATTCTATATGACATCATTATTCACTTGAAACCAACTCTCAGTGACAGAAAGGCAATGCTTCACGCAATTGTCCTATCCTTGTATCCCCTTCATTGGTTCTTCACTTTTCTTTATTATACAGATGTCGCATCCGTTACTGCTGTGCTGGCCATGTATCTTGCAAGTTTGGAAAAGAACTACTGGTTAAGTGCATTGGTAAGGTTGGAGCCTTTACAGTTGTTGTTCGACAAACAAATATTATATGGGTGCTTTTTGTTGCATGCATTAGTATAATAGATATTTCTCTAATGCAGTGAAAAGGCAATGTAAGAACAATCAAGTCAGATGTATCAGTTGAGCATGATTTCACATATGTTACTGGTAGAAGCGCAAAGGGTTTAAATCTTAAAAGGAGAAAGTCTGTCAAAACCATATCATAACCAAATACCCAACACCATTTACAATATCCAAAAATATACTACAAAAAACAAGAAATACAATTAAAAGTGCATATATTGATTCTCATCATCGCTTTTTGTGTGGCCTCGTCGTGTTTGAAATGCAACCTTGTTGCTTCCATCTTCATTACCTTCTTCATGACCAAACCGGCGTATTGTAACTTGCCATGGTCTATGCCTTTTTTTTCCAAAGTAATCCTGAACATTTGCACAACAAAAAGAAACAGTTATTATCAATTCCAAAACAGCCCTGCACATAACAAACTCTAACAACCCCTAACCAAAATTCCAGCCAACTAACTTCTAACAAAAAAGAAACTAATAACTGACTTCAAACTAACTTTTACAGAGTTGTATATAACAAAATAGAAACAGACCCATAGCATGATTTATCTCCACCATTAGATCCCTAACATCTAATTGACCTCCTAATTATTCTAACAGCTTCCTAACCAAATTCATAAACCAACTACCCATAACTAACTCAACAAACTTCAAGCAGAATACAACTGACTTGCAACAGAAAATAACATAACAAACTTCTAACTTTTCCCTAACTTCTAACTATAACCAACTTTTTTTCCCACCTCCTAACCACCTAACAGAATTTCTAACCTCCTAACTATAAAAACAAACTTCCAGCATATATAAATAGAGCTCACAGCATATATATAACCAGAGATCACAAATAGAAAAAAGAAGGCAGAGGGGGATTCATTCTGAAAAAACTCACAAAAACTCTCACAAAAAATGAGGAGATTACCTCTACTTTCTCTTTGCTTCGTCTTCTCCAATAATCACTTCATTCAATCTTCTGTAGCCTCAACTTCTTTGGATTCTTGCTGCATCTATAACCGAATCTTTATCGTCTTCAATTCGCTTCAACCTTCAACTTTCATCATTGCAAGATCTCTGAAACGGCATCATCATAAATTCCATACTCATCGCAACGCATTGAAGCACAAATCAACACAACACATCGCTCTATAAACCTTCACGCCCAAGATTGAAACACAAAAATAGAGCGAATAATTGAAATAAAAGAAGAATGAGGAGAAGAAAAGAGATCCTTACCTGAAGGTGGATTACCGGTGAGAGCGGACCACCTCAACGGCATACCAAGGAAATTCGTAATAGCAACAATCGGCTCCTTCGCCAAATCGGTGGCATCTCTCATCAACCTCCGTCATTATCTCCGAACATCACTGCATCTACAACAACAACACTTTGTTGCATCACTGGATGAATTGAAGATGAACGTAGACATGGAGACGCGGAGACGATCGCTCACGGTCGTGTGCGACAAATCTGAGAAGGAATCGGAGAACGAAGAGAGTATAGTGGCGGCATGGTTTACGGCGAAGATGGAATCGGAGAACGAAGAGAGTACAGTGGCGGCATGATTTACGGCGAAGATGGAATCGGAACTGTTCCATGACGGAGACGGAATCGCGAAGAGAAGACGGAGACAATGAGGAGGCGGCCGCTCTGCGTGAGTTCGACCGGAGCTTGAAGAAGCCGCCGCACGCTGCTAAGTTGAAGATCGAGAAGAGAAGCCGCGACGGAGAAAGAAGGAGAAGCAAACGGCGGTGAAGATGGTGAGAGACCGGCGGCGCCGCCTTCGTGGATGAGAGGAAGAGACATTCTTTTCCTTAACCTCATTCCTTTTCCAATCTTTTCTTTAACCCTATTCCTTTTCCAATATTCATACGTTTTTCCTTTTTTTTAATTGTCTTATTGTTCTATTATTTTTATTTCAAATTAATAATAATAATAACTAAGTAAATAATAAATGAAATGTTAAAAATGCTTATTGGACTCATGTCATGTTGGGCCATAGCGCCTAGATTTGGCTTGCACCACCCTGAATTCAGCTTGTACCCCCTTGATTCTTCTAATTTTTATTTTAGTTTTTCTTCTAATTTAATTTTTTTAATCAATAATAAAACAATAAAAATAATAGAATATTTTTAGAATAGAATTTATTTTTAGAATTTCGATTAGAATTTTTTCTATTTTATTTTTCATATTCGATAATCATTTTATTGACTTTTTTAGTCAAGATTTTTGTGATAGCATTGATATAACTCTTGCAATGTGGAATACTCGGGGTTAATTCTTCAATCACTTGCCCAAGGGAACTTTGATAGAATTCTCTTACCGCTTGCACAATTTTGAGGAGGCAACGGACCTCCTCCGTTCGGTATTGTCGCAACTCTATTTTATTCTTTATTTCGGTACTTTATCGCAAACCATATGCGTGTTGACATTAGGTAGAATTCCCTCATTCATTCTAACTTTAGGTCTAACCACGCATAATAACATTAGGTTTAGGAGTAAGCTAGTCCCATTTGACTTTTCTTTCTCTTTGAACATACGCATCTAAAACTAAAACTTCTTTTTCTTTTCGAAATTCAAAACACTTTAAAACTATTGATTCGAATCATGCTTTTGCTTAGTACGGGGAATGATGAGCGGGTCTCTTCTCGATCTTATTGTTCTTCATCTCAAGCTCAGGTGTGGTTCAATTCTCAAAAACTCCTTTCATGGCTAAGTAGAAAAATGACTAATATCTCTCTCTTGAGGTCGACTAGTCAATATCTACAACGGAAATACAAAACAAATTCAAACCATTTTGTGCGCTCGAGCACCATTTCATTAAAAAACCCTTTTCAGGTAAGGACATGTTTAATTTACTTCTGTGCCAACGCATAAGTCTCCAAAGGTTGAGCTGCGGCAGAAGGCGGAATTAACTTCGTCCACAAAATACATCTATAACAAAATACAAAACAAAATCAAATCTTTGGTGCGCTCGAGCACCTTTTCTTTTAAAAACCTTTTCAGGTAAGGACACGATTAATTTACTTCTGTGCCAACGCATAAGTCTCCAAAGGTCGAGCTGCGGCAGAAGGCAGAATTAACTTCGTCCATAAAAAACACAAAACAAACAAAAACATATGAGCCTAACTACGGTAGCTCTGATTCCTCAAAAAGGATACGTAGGCATTGGGTTAGGGCCCAGGCGAGCACAATTTTATTTTCCCTACATTCTTTCCCCTTTCTTTTGCATGCATTTTCCCTTAGCAGTATAGTAGACAGTAAGCATAGATTAAACACACCCATAAGATAAATAACAAGAGTGGATACCGTAGAGTACTACGGGCGTGTGGGATGCTAATACCTTCCCCTCGCGTAACAGGCTCCCTTACCCGATCTCTCGGTCGCAAGACCATGACTTCTCCCTTCTCAGGTTTTCTCGATGTTTACCTTTCCCTACATGTGGGATAAAAGACGTTCGATGGCGACTTCATTGTTTGATGATTTTCAGCCGGTTGTTTCAGCTGGCGACTTCACTGGGGAATAGGTCGACCAAATGCTGGTCCATCCCGGAGTCGCTCCTAGCTCTTGTTTTCTTTCCTTAGGGTGTTTATTTTTATGCTTTCAGTTTACTCATTTGTACATGTTTGCATTGCATTTTATGGCTTTCCATATTTGTTATCTATTATGCTGGACTCTGTTCTCTATGTTGGGTGGGGATGTCACTTCTGAGGTAAAAGGCCCAGTACCCAGGCCAGAGTGCACTAGGACACCTAGGAATAGAGTGGGGGCATGACGGCTATAGGACGTGGTCCGATTAGTGCAGTCATGTCATATACCACGCTCGGATGAGGTTCAAATGAATTACTATCGGCACCCACGTCTGTGGGCAAGCCCATAGCACTTTTAGGAGAACCCGTGATTTTCGAGTTACCATTATCTTACCCTGGCCTAGTTTTCACCCGTGAGTGGGAAGGGAATTTTTGTCACAGGTACAGATGGTGAATGTGTTCAGATGGTTACTCATATTCAAATGATGACTATGCTCAGACAGTGGCTACTGATTCTAATGGCTATATTCTGGATTTCTGTTAAGACTTTATGTAGATGCTATATCCCGTTGGTGACCGTGCGGTTCTCAGATTTATTTTCTGAGTTCCTGACTTGTTTACCTGGAGGTTCATTCAAGCCTTCAATCTTGGTATTCCCATCATATTCAGAAAATTCTCAACAGTATCCGATGTTCCAGAAGCCTTGGTCCCATACAATGGGAGATCTACAGGGTACTTGGTTCTTATATATGCAGAAGCTATGTCGGACCTTTGATCTGATGATAATCACATGATTCAGAGCAGTGCAGCAATCTTATTCAGGAATGATAGAACCCTTATCCTCTTTGATCTCATGCCTTTGCATACATAACATGGCTAACCACATGCTTAACATACATGTTCTATTATTTCCAAGGAATCACATTTGCAAGTCTTGTGCTAAACTCTTCCATCCCTTAGTTGCGCAAAATCAAAATCAAAGCACGCAAATTCCGTGGAAATGACAGAACATGACATGGCATTCATTCATACACCCCATGCGTATTCATGCATTCATGACAGGTACCCGAAGATTGGGGATTCTTATTCAGACCTGGGGTTCTCTTCAAAGGTTCAACCTGATTTCTCTCCACACATGCTCAGAGATCAGTGATGGAATAACTCTGAGTGGTACATGCAAGCTTTGGCTCATAATCAGAAACTTCTTCAAGCAGGAAGATAATGGATTAAATACTCAGATAAGCCAGGTCATGGAAAATCTGATGATGATGTCTATTATTTCTTTAAGACATGATGTGCTTGATGATGCATATTATACTGGGGAACCTGGCCAATCGATTGAAGAAGGTATAGTCCAATACTGGATCAATTCAGAGACTGTCATGCTCACATCAGATCTGAAAGGGAATTCTCTTGCACACTCGAGCATCAAGACTACAGAAAGTCGTCAGAATCAGCAAGTCCATACGGAGTCAAGTCTCCTCAACCATGGCAATCATTGGTTTCTTTACTGCATTTTCATTTGCATTCTTGCTTGTTTGTTTAAACATTGCTTGTATATAGAAACTTGTCTATTTTTGAACGAAAATCTTAATGCAATAACTATGCTTGTCTTGAAGTGTTCCTTTCATTTTTACTCATCCATTCGTTATAACTCTTTAAATGTTTTACTTACATATGGATGCCAAATTTTCCAAGTCTTATGCTTAGGTAAAGATTCAAAGGAGGATGACGACAACCTAAAACGCAAAATCTCTGGTTGATACGCTTTTGAGTAAGACCCTGCTGACGATGTATAGGCCTTGTTTCAATTCCTAAACACCGGAGATATAAGGGAGATAGACCCTCGTCAACCCCTCTGAGCCTTCGAAGTAGGAGTTTCTTTTCTGTTCAGGAAAAAACCCTCATTTTAACCCCGGGGCGGGTAGTGTTCAGCTAATCTGATCAAGCATTCAGAACTCATCAAGAGTGTGCATCCAGGGATACAACAATGGTTATCCATCAAAAGGTTGAGAAAAGTCAAAACCACAATGGTTAACCCTCATCTAACAACAATGTGCGTCTATTTGACTATATCCCAATGGGTATCCCTCGCACGTTAAAAGGTCGACAGATGACAATACAACAATGACTATCCCTTGTCTATCAAAGACTCAGGCAGTCACGATCACTTCCAACAAATCAAAAGCAATGCAAAGATCAACGACTTGTTCAAATGAAAAAATACGAATAAAAAAGAAACAAAAATCCCCGCTAAGTCAAAACTTGAAAATAAGTCGCTCAGGCAAAAATTGGGGCATCCCGCTGGACTTCCAAATCAAAATTCAAAAGAATTTGTCCAGGAAAAAATTAGGGAAAGCAAGAAAGAAATTGAAAAGCCTAAAAGGCAAGAAAAGGATTACCAATGAAAGTCCTCATCAAAGAACAAAGTTGTGTGATCAAACACCAAAAGCAAAAGGTGAAGTGACTGTCGTGTCCAAGAAACCACTGTGGTTCCTCAATCATCGCAAACTCTTCTAGAGAGATGAATACTTGTACCAGGTCAACTAAACGTAGGAATGGAGAACATCATGGAGAATGGGTGGGCACTAAATAATTTTGAGCCTTAAATCCTTTTTCTAAAACCGTGAACCAGGCCACGTTACAACCCATAAAAGTCCTAACTGAAGCATGGGTCAATTCAAAAGCGTGCTACAACGAGATAACGTTTAACTGACTCCTAAGAGGTATGTTTGAATATCTATGTTGGCATACTATGCTTGCATTATCTTTCATGAAAAAAAGAATTTGCAAATGTTTCTCTCTAGCTAGTGACTCGTTCA